AAGGGATCTCAATATCACTGTTCTGTCTTCTCGGGCATTGTTTCAGCACAAGCCTCTTTCACAGCGACCGAAATATCCCAAAAAGCCAAACAACAATGAGTGTAGTATCGAGTATCTACCAACTTCGGACTGCACCAAAGCTGGTCAACTCACTACGTCCTAATGGCCAAGTTGGTCAAGTAAAGATTCTAAAGTCAGTTAGTGCTTCATGACATCACTTAGCAGCTCCGTATTCTCCTTGACTACTCAAGGGCTACCGGTACCCACAAATATGTCATGCTAACGTAGCTATTGCTTAGACCATGTCGGTATACCCTGCACAGTTTCCACAACGTATTGCTACATACCTATAAGGTATCCCAAATCCGGGTAGAGGATTTAAACTAACCCAAACAAGGAACCAAAATGTAAAGCATACAAGTCAAACAATGAAAGCAAATAAAGGTGATCTAACCCTAAGGTAACACCACTTTTAAATTTTCCCCAACAGAGTCGCCAGTTCTGTGATACGGTGGGAGAACTGACTTGGTTGTTTTTGCATTTTATCGCAATTGTTGCGGTTAGCAAGAGTCGCCACTGGCATTTCTTTTATACAAAAGAAAAGACTGAAAAGAACAGGAAATACCTTTGAGATTATTTCTTGAGTTCGGGGAGTAGATTATGAAAAGGGAAGGTGTTAGCACCCTCTTCATCCAGAGTTATCTATTGGATCTTAGTTTGTTGCTAGATCACTTGCTTTTGTTTGAAAATGTGCTTTGTGTGATTTTTTAAAGTATTTTGAAAAGGCGCCGTCGTGTAAGAAAACTTTGTAATAGTTCTCGTTCGTAAGAACGTATACAAAGTGTTGGGCTTTTGAAAATGTTTCAAGTTTGGAAAATGTTTTGAAAGTGTTGGTGTTTGTTTTGAAAATAAGCAAGAGTGTTTGGTTTGAAATTGAGCAAGCAACTAGGAACAATCTACCTACTCAAAAGTCTTAGTTCATTTCTTCCTTTCCTTTGATATTGCTATCTCATCATTGATTGGTAAGAAGCCTTAGCTTTGGATGTAAAGGGACGGGCATGGGTCATTGTATAACCATGATAGCAATGTTGTGAGATATCTTAGAAATTCTCTTTGAGGGACTAAGATCATTTTGAAAGGCAATATTGATAGCGTCATCGAGGGACTATGATCTTGTATTTTTTATTGCTTTTTGCTAAGATACCCCACATGCATAACATGGCCATTTTTATAAGGCAACAAAATGGAATTACCCTAAGGGTACAAGTGTGAAAATGTGTTTGATTTACATGCATGTTTATCTTGAATTAGGGTTTGCTAACTTGTTGATTTTAGTCTTTCCATACAAACTCTAATTTACTAGCATTTATATAAAGCGATAAATTGCGGAAAGTAAAATTACTAAGCTATTACATCATTAGGGAAGGGGGTATACAAATTTACAAATGGGGATTTTGCAAGAAAATTAAACCTAATTAACTATTACAACCATATTAAATAAGTGTACAAGAATTGAATAAATAATAATGTACAAATGCAAATGGAAAAAGAAAATGATTTTTGTTTGGATTTTTATGAAAGGGTTTTAACCTAATTAAAGAAGATTATTAATTAAAAATTAACAAAATTAAACTTAAACTATTTAACAAAGAAATTAAGTTAAAGAAGATTTTTAGGGTTTTTATGGAAAAAGGTTTTAAGTTAATAAAAATGAAATGAAAGTTAATTAATTAAGAAAAACCTAAGTTCTAAATTAATTTTAATTTACAAGAGAATATTATAATAATTAAACCTAATTATCTAAATATTAATTATTAAAAAAATAAATTAAATTTATTAAGAAAAATGTTTTTGGTCTTTTTGTTTTATGAAGAAAATAAAATAAATAAGTGTAAATAATAAATAAAATATTTTGGGATTTTTTATTAATAAAATGATAATAATAATAATAATAATAATAATAATAATAATAATAATAATAATAATAATAAAAATAACAAAGGAAATATGAAATGAAAGTAAAAATAAAAATGAACAAAGGAATAAAAAAGAAAATAATGGGCCAGGGGTGAAAAAGTGAAACAGTGGTTATAAGAAGCAGAAAATAACCAGGCCCAATGTTGGAGGCCCAGCGCTGGCTGCAAACAAAAAAGAAGTGAAAAATGAACAAAAGGGTACCACTGGGGCTCGAACCCAGGTCCCAAAGGTTAACAGGCGCGTGCTTTACCACTGGGGTGGCTATACATCCATTGATATAAACAAAACAATAAATATATAACATAAATCAAGTCCTGGATGAACTTCATCTTCAACCTCCAACCAGAGAACCTGTAACTCATTCATTTCTCATCCATTCACAAAACTTCCAACATCAAACTTTTTAGAAATTTCCTCACAATTCTGAATATGTAAATAACTTAAGCTAATTCTCAAAGATGAGCATGAATTTATAATAGTACCGAATTCTGACATAAATATTTTCAGAGGTTCAAACTGAAAATTCTCCCTACTCAAGTAACATAAATGAAATCTATAGACATGTATAGTTTCAGGGCAATGATGTCTACATTTTATCTTCACAAATGCAAGCCTAACAATGCCTAAATGAGAAGATAGAAGTTCAAGAAAAATACCTCAAAATTGGAAATCGTGAAATGAGTTTGAGCTTGATTCAAGGTGCTGCAATGATCAGGTTAGCTTCCTTGAGTCTCTAGGAACCTAATGCAATGCTTAGCTTGAGTTGAGAGTGGCTGAAATGGCCTAGAAAATTATAACTGCAATGCTCTGTTTTTGGTTATGGAGGTTATGGTAAATGGTGTTACAGTTCTGGAAATAGGATGGGGATAAGTTATATTTTATATGAGGAAGATTTTGAAACTAAAAGGCCAAGAAATGCACGAGGGAAATGGAAGTTTGATCTATAAAATCAGAACTTGCACAACAATGATGTTTTGAAGCAATTTTTGGCTAGAGGGAGTTTGGGAGTGTTTCAGGGTGTTCAAGCTCGTGTTCTAGCTCACAAATAGTGACTCTATTTATAAGCAACAAGTTTGGAGACTTGTCCTTGATCAGAATTCAAAATCACATGTTATGGCTCTTTTTCTTGTTTTTGAAGTAAGCTTGATACACATTGTCCCAATGCATAGTACAAGGCTGACTAGAGTGGTTACAAACTTTAAACATGTTTATCTGACTTTGTATGTTGAGTGTGTTCTGAACAAACAAGTTAGAGGCTCAAGAAGAGTGGACTTTGTACATAAAGCCACTTTTCCAAAATGGCAATGTTGACTTTCTTCCTAAAATGGTATTAAGCATGGGTAATGCATTGAATGCTTGGATTAAAGCTTCTATCAGCTGTGCAAAACATTAATTATGGAGTGACAAACAAGTTTGAGGCCTGTAAAGCAAAGATTATGCAGCCTAGCATGAATTTGGTTCATGTGTTCATCAAGAAATGACTTGTAATTCAATATTGAAAACCCTAACTTCTTGCCTTCGATTCTCCTTGCTCAAGTATGATCTCAATGAGTTCTTGGACATATTGGAATGCTTGTAACATCCTCTACAACCTCTATGTTGGACATTTTTGAGGATTCATCTTAGAACTATGTGAAAAATTGCCATGAAGTTAGGTCAAAATCCTGCCTAAACTAGGGAAAAATTTCACTAAGTTTCCAAGTTTCATGAACATGTATTCACAAAATCATAACTTGAAATCCATGGATTTCTAGAAGAAGTTGTGTTATACAATTTTTTATATATAATTGAGATCTACAACTTTCATGTTGGAAGTTTCCTTTGAATCATCTTGCATCATGGTGAAAATTTTGCTCAAAGTTATGAAAAAATATGAATTTCCCAACACTTTGAAAATACCCCAAGAGAATGGATAAGATGGTCTTGCAAGGGGAAGGTATTAGAACCCCTCACATCCATTGTACTCAATGGGATCCATTTTGATTGTTTATTTCTAAGGGTGTGTCTATCTAAAACTATACTTGCTAAGAGAAATGAAATGGTTTTTATTAGTGCATTCGTGAGGGTATCACAACCCTTTACCTACGTATCCTGTGAAGGAATCAGAACATCTTAGTTCTTCCAGAAAATGTTGGCTTGTTGGTGTTTTTTAGTTGGCGACGTTAACCCACGCATTCTAGAAATAGGCACGGCCTGTATCTCGGTAGAACGAAGATAACACGCCCTTTTAGATTTTGAATTTGTTGTGTGTTTTTGTTAAGTGTGGGATGAGTTTGAATAATGATTAAGTGTTTTTTGGATTTTTGAATAAGAAAATATATTTTAGTTTTAATTAGAAAGGAGCATTGCAAAATAAAATTCTAAGGGGAAAGTCTACCCTAATGTTGACACATAATTTATGGGCCTAATGTTGAGTGTTTGAAGAGGAAATTTCTAACCAAATTAGTTACCATGAAAGGATCGAACTTAATGTCTACTCTTAATTTAAATTATATCAAAGACAAGAATTGAATCAAGAGAAACCCTAAGGGAATATGGTGAGAACACAAACAAAAGCTCAACATAAAAGAAACAAAATCTAAAATGAAATAAAATCTATTATCATATTTTGTATTTCTTAACATATTAAAATAAGACAAAAATAGAACAACTAATTTAAAACAAAAAACATATATTTTAATATTTTTAGTCATTTTCATGTTAAATAAATAATTCTAACTCTAATATACATTTTATTATATTTTTTCGGAGAAAACTATTAACAAAAGTCATGCAAATAATTAAAGAAAAATAAAATTGTAGAATTTTAAATAAAAAGAAAATATAAAGTTAAAAGGGGGTTAAAAACGGAGATCTGTAAGGCCCAACAAAGTAAAAGGGAGAAAATGAAGACAAGGTAAAACCGAACCAGGTTAAAGGGATCCGAGTTAGGCCTGACCTGAACCCAACCTTCTACTGTTACAAATTGATTCCCCTGATGAATACCCTAATTTCTAATATTGAATACAACCTTTTCTTCTTGAATGGCCATTGACGGAGCTCTGAACCCAACCTTCTATTGTTTTCTCTTTTTCGTATGCCTTGTTTTTACCGGGACACTCCCTCAGTTTTAGCTCTCAGCCTCCGCCTGTTACGTCTGTTCTCACAACCTAACCACTCTCTCAACCATGAACTCTCTCTTCCATTGTCTTCCAACATCATCTCTAATTTCCTCTGTCTCAATGCTCTCAATTCCGTTTTGACATAATCAACCACAAGAACTCAGTCTTCACACGTTTAATAACGTGAACAAATAAAATACACAAGCATAGAGGATTCAAATTACATAGAAAAAGTTATCATTTAAACATCATCATATGGCAGCAACAACAACAATCTACAGAGCAAAAATTAAGGAAAAGAAAAGTTACCGAGTCAGAGTTCCTCCGATGGTCCTTTAAGACCAGGTATGACCTGAATCCTTCTTTGTTTCTATGATTCTATGGAGTGTTTTAAGAAGAAGTTTGTGAATTATTGTTTGTTGCGATTAAAGGGATGGGTTGAGCAGATCAATTTGCATAAAGTTTTTAGGATGTATTTCTTGGTGAGGATTTGAGCAAAGATGTGGTATATAAATTTTTGTGTGTCGTTGGTGACGTGTGAGATATGCAAAAGGTTTTGAGATATGTCAGGAATATGCAAATGTTTGAAGGTGTCGTGTTGATGTCTGTGTTGTGATAAGAGTATGTTTAAGGGGTATTGAAGTGAGTTGTAGTGATATGAATAAAGGTAAGTTATGGTTTGGGTAAGATTGGATGTTGAGTGATAATGAATTTCAAGGGTGTTTTTGAAGGTTTGCAAGAAAAGATTTATGCAGAGATTTACGCAGGGCTATGGATTTTAATGGTTGAAGGCAGTTTTGGCAACAAGGTGAGCGAGGTTATAGCTTAGGATAGTTTGTGTAGTGAATGGTTTGTGTAGAGAGGTTTTGAGAATCGGTAGAGGTAAGTTTTAGAAGTTGTGGATTTGAAGAGTGGAGTATAGAGGAAAATATGATAGAGGTTTGGAAAGTTGCTAACGTGTGCTTTTCTGTCTGATCTCTCTGTGAAATTTGTGTGGATTTCTCACTTTTTTTTTGTTAGTGTATTATTGGTTTTTTATAGTGGATGAGAGTAAGGTTTTGGGGGAAACGGGATGATATTTGAACTGTTTTGGCATACTGTTTCTTGTTTTCTTGATGCAGTTTTGTTTTTTCTATTTTAATATAATATTTTGACTGGTGTTTACTAATTTTTTTGGACAAATATGTTTAGTATTACGCAGGTTTTGGACAACAATATGTACATGTTATGCAGGGTTGGATTTTGGACGTTTATGACAGGAGTAGCAGCTGGTTTGAGCAGCATAGCAGGGTATTTTTTTTTGACATGTTTGGTGTAGCAGCAACAAAGTGGACAACATGGTTTATGTTTGGATTTTAAACTGTTTTACTTTTACAGCAGGGCCATGTTTTGGTGTGAGTTTTGTGCAAGGCTTTTGAGATTTCTCCGGTCATATCTTTCTGATTTTGGCCTTTCTTGTTTTCTCTGAAACTTTTGTGGCTTGTATCTTCTTCTTCTATATGATTTTGATAAATTTCTGAAGGGTTTTTGTGGTATTTAGGAAAATGATGAATAGATCTAGGGTTTGCCTTGTGTGAACTCTTCATTCGGGCTTTTGCAATCTAATTTTTTTTATATGTTCTGAACTTTGTTGTTGGTCCGAACAATTGCAATTTAAGTACTTGCTACTTCTATGATGCTTTGTTGTTTTTTCATTGAGGTGTATGCAATAAATTGTCTCTTTTTAAAGTTTATCATATTGTGAACCAAACCTGTTTTTGTTATTTGCAATAGGAATACTCTTGGGCCAATGATTTTACTCTAGAATCTGATTTTGTTTGCAAGATAATGAGGCCTTTGTTGAGATTTGGCATATGACTGAATTCAAACTCCCTATGTTCTGATTCCTTCATAAAATCCCTAATGATGAATTGTGAAATACTTGCTTGGAAGCTTCCATGTTCATGATTCATTGATTGAACTCGTACTATCCATTTCCTTGTTTGTTTTCATGTGATGTTGATGGATGAGCTTGCAAGAGCATAGAGGGATACTTGAAGAAGAAGTTATGGTGAGGTGTGAGAACAAGACGCTTGAAGATAGAGCAAGAAGAATGAAGAAGAATTCTCTTTTCTTTGTACCTTTAGAACAAATAAGAAACTTGTAACTTTTGTTTCAAATTTGTAATTGAACATGAACATGAATGATCTTGTTTCATACTTGTAAATTTCCTTTTAAATTTCTCAAAATGTAATGAACATGAAACTTGAATGATCTTTTTTCATACTTGTCTTGAAAATAAATCTTGGAACAACAAACTTTCCAAATTATGAAATTAAATTCTATTTGAAAGCTTCTTGAGTGAAGATTTAATGAAAATCAAAGTTTGAATCATCGTGATGCCTTATAATTCTTTAAAGATTAAATGATGAAAACAAACTTGAAAATCAAAATAAATAACACCAATTTATCTCTAAATATAACTTTAATTCTTAATTCCTTCCATTTCCTGATTCACATAGTTCACAACACACATAATATTTCCTCTCAAAGAGGCCTTTTTCAAAAGGGCTAGACAAGCTTGACAAATTTGAACCAAAATAAACACTTGAATTAATGTTGCATGGATGTATATCCTTCACAACTTAAATTAGAACTAAATATTGTAAAGGTCTTATAACTTGTGACTTACTCTCTAAGAAATCTAAATTCATTTGATAAATCTTCAGCCCATAACTTTGATTTTGGAAATCCAAGTTATCTTGTAATTAAAGTGACAAAAGATAACAATTCCATGATCATAATACAAGTACATAACATCATCCTTGTACCATGATTTAAACCTTGCAATTTAATTCGCAAAGTCATTCCACTTGATAAAATCATTGCCTTGAATAGTTCTTAAAAAATAAATGGCTTGAGGTATTGAAAAAGAAGCCAAACCATAACTCACAAGACACTTCTTTGAAACATTTAAGAAAAACCCTAACATCTTGGCACTCTTGAAGAAACCTTGTGGTGACTTGATGAGAGAAGAAAATCACACACAACCTCTAGCCCAATAAAACCCTAATTCCTTGACCTTGGGTAGGGAAATAAACCCTAATCCTTGGTACTGGTGAATTTGGATGGAGAATAGCTTTTGATGAGAAAGAACTCATGATAACCATACTTTAAAACTTGATTCCACTGTCCACTGATGCTTTGAACCACTTACTTATTGAATGAAGGAATGATATGTGAATGACCTAATGAAAATGACGCAAATGAAATGCAAAGCCTAATCCAGATAAAAGTGAAAAGGTAGGACATATTTAAGGTATGACACTCTGTAACTATGTGTCGACACATTCTTCATTTTAGGTCGACATATATCATTATGAAACCTTGGATTTGTCGACACATATGTGTTTTGTGTTGACACATGTACTGTTGTTTTGAAGCCTGTAGCATTTGTAACTTCGTGTCACTACAACGAACTCATATAGGTTAACACATGTCGTTACATATGTTGACACATGTGTTCGAATTTCTCAAAAATTGTTTTCCTTTTAAAACTTCGAGGTCTCCCTTTTGCCTCAACTTGAACACCTATATATACTTACACAAATCACCTTCAACTTGATGAAATTATAAAAACATACTAAGATTGCTCATCATCTTCAACCTTGCATCTATGGATACACACATATAAAGTACACATAACCATTCATTATTTGGGTGACATCTAGGCTTGGTTGAGAACTTTCAATTTAGGTTAGTTGTAACCTAAGGTTGGGTTTAGAATCATAGGGAGTTTCATTGGAAAAACAGTGATATTTTTTACCTCGAGATAGTGTGGATTTGGTTTTTTTTACAAGGTTTCACAAATATTGGATCCGACCGAGTGAATGTCTTTGAAGAATGAGAGGTTCTTGCAAATAAGTAGTGCGACATGGTGAATCGTTTGGAAATCTTGGGTGACAACAATTCACAATTTTGATTCAGCCGAGTGAAGAGCTTTGAAGAAGGAGACGGTGAATCAAATTGGTATTGTTGGGTGACTTGATCAAACTCATATCAAGGGAAGAGAAATTTATAGGATCAACATCAAACATAGGGTTTACAGGGTTGGATTGCTATATTTATCTTGTAAATAACATTTTGCATAATAAGAAATTTATCTCATTTCCAAATGGAATTGAGGGGAGACATAGTCATAGCGAGGAAGATTGGTGAACTTCCTAAATAAATCCTTGTGTCGTTTTATCTCTCTCTCTCTACCTTTATATTTGATTTACATTTTACTAGGAATTAATTCGTATAGACAAATCCTTTGATCGGTAAATTGATTTGTTGATTACCTTACAATCTATTATATTTTAAGAGTTATTTCATACCAACAAAGCTCAAAGGAAAATCTCAAAAATTAAGTGATCACCAAGTGTTCGATAAATTGTTTCACTTAGTTTTATCAATTGTTTCATTGGATATTGGTTGGACTTTTAATTGTAAAACAATTACTTGATAATTTATTATATTAAGCTCTTATTATCGTCATTTAATTGAGTTTGATATCTTACACTTATTCGAGCCTCCAATAACTGGTTCAGCTTGGATGGCTTGTGATCTAGGATATGATTTCCGCTTTCCATAGTTTTTTCTTTATTTTTTAAAATAGTTTTTTAAGTAAAATTTTTCTTTGGGGATATATTCACCCCTCCTCTAGATAAGTTTCCGTCGTCTAACAGAATTTTCCCCTTTGATGTCGGCTCTTCTAAACATGAGTTCCTTGTGTTTAAACTCTCGAGGTCGAACTCGTTTATTGTATTTAGTTGTTGGAGTTTGCTTGATGGCGGGGATGGCAACTTCATTCCTATAAGTAATTTAAAAGAGAGTCTCACTGGTTGTTGAATGACACATAGTTCGATATGCCTAGTGGATTTGTGAGAGCTCATCTTCCCATTTTCCCTTAGCCGCTTCAAGTCTTTGCTTTAACCTTCTCAATATTACTTGGTTCACTACTTCACTTTGTCCATTTGTTTGAGGATATTATAATGATGTGAAATGTTGTTTAACCTTCAAGTATTTTAGAAGCTTCTTGAAGTTCTTGTCTATGAGTTGTGTCCTCTTAAAATTTTCAAGATGTAGGCTGTTGAGATATTTTCCAATGTTTCTGCTTTAATCCACTTGGTAAAGTAGTCTATTTCCAGGATCATAAATTTGAGTTATGTGTCTACACAAATGAGTGGAGGAACCGTTGAGGGACAAAACTTAACCTTTGTACGACCTCAAATCTTTTTTTATTAAGTCGAACTTTATGGATATTCTTAGGTATATAAAATTGTAAGAAATTTTTTGAAATGGTGTCTAACCTCACTGTATTTAGTTTGGAAGTAAAGTGCAAGATTTTTTGTGATGTTTATGGCACCAATGTTGCTGCATTTTATCGAGACAACTATGAGATTAACTTTGTAATCACTCAGCTGATGTTTTATCCAGATAACTAGTGCATAAGAGCTACTCGCATCAAAGTATTATACCTTAGCTTTGGATAACTCTACACTTCCTTGTTTATTGCTATGTCAAGAGACAAACAAGTTACCAAGTAGGTGAAACATTCCACTAGTACTTTTATGACATAACTTCCACCCAGAAAAATTTGAGTTAGTGTATCCAACTAAGATACAACCCGTCTCTTTGGGGTATCATAAACCCATTAGTGGTGTGCTGATGAAATATCTCATAATGCATTTTACCATAGTGAGATGTTATTTTTTGAGTATGTTAGATAATGAACATAAATACATACATCAAATATAATATCATGATGAGATGCAGTAAGATAAAAGGGAAAACTAATCATACCTCAGTACATGCTTTCTTTAATTGGCTTTTCTCCTTCGTACTTATCCAAGTTTCAAACAGTACCCATCAGAGTGGAGATAACGTTGGCTTTTTCCATGCTGGATATCTTGAGTAATTATTTATTGTGTTTCGCTTGATTAATGAATATGCCTTATTTGGATTTGTGAATTTGAAGGTCGAGGAAATATCAAAACTCCCCCACCATTAACATCTCAAAATCACTTTGCATCATCTCAGAAAATTACTTACACAATGATTCAATAGTAGCACCGAAAATGATATCATTTATATAAAGTTAAACTAACAAGATGTCATGCTCATATTTTTGATAAAAAAAGGTTTTGTCATCTTTTCCTCTTTGAAAGTTATTTTCAAGCATAAACGTGCTTAGATGATCATACCAAGCTCTAGGATCTTGTTTCTTTTTGTTTAAAGCCTATTTCAATTTGAAGACATGATTAGGAAATGAAGAGTTTACAAAACCTAGAGGTTGATCAACAAACACTTCCTCCTAGATGTAACGGTTAAAGAATTCACTCTTTACATCTATTTCGAAGAGTTTAAAATCCATGATGCAAGAACAATCTAGAAGCATCCTTATGGCTTATAATCGAGCTACAAGAGCATATGTAACATCGAAATATATGCCTTGTCGTTGGTTGTTCCTTTTTCTATAAGTTTTCATTTATTTCTTAAAACTTTTCCATCCTCATCAAGCTTGTTGCAAAAGACCCCGCCGGTCCTAATTACTTGATTAACTGAAGCTTTGGGAACAAGTTCCAAATATTTTTTCTTTCAAATTGATTTAAATCTTCATAGCAAGATACCAATATTAGTCGGTGAGAGTCTCATCAAATTAATTTGGCTCAATTTAGATAAAAAATCATATGGTTATGTACCTTGCTAAGGGAGTGTCGAATTATGGCTCACTTAGAAATATCTCCAATAACATTCTGAATTGGATGATCCTTAGCAGTC